AATTTTGTCCGATCACGCTATATGCGTTTCCGTAAATTTTGCCATGCAAGAAGTAAGCGAATTCTTAACTGCGGAAAGCCGTAATAGACCTTATTAGGTGTCGATTCACACCTTTTGTTTTCGCAGTTTGGAATCTATGGTACCCTACGGACGGGTGGGCGCTGCAACGATACGTTCTAACCCCATACAAATTATGTGATTCATACTCAGTCATGAATAGTCATAGTCATAGTCATAGTCATAACTGATAACACCATACATGATACATCACATGATGATACTGATCATTGCCATAGGGGTGTTCTCCTAAGTAATAGCCAGGTAGGGCCCCAAGGATTAGAGAACATGCGATCCAAAAAAACCAATCTGCAAACCCTAACCCTTAATTCTAACCCCTAACCCTAATTCTAACCCTACACCCTAATTCAATAACGCCTAACCCTAAAACATAACGCCTAACCATAACCCTAACTATTATGATTGATTAAATATTATAGTTTATATTATCGTAAATGACATTGTTTTATTGGACCGCATGTTCTCCTATGGCAGGTAGCTAGTATATATACTGCTGTCATTATAGTAAATAGTAATATCATGGCGATATTACTATATATATATCATTATGCGTTATAATATAATATAGCGCCATGGTACTCTCACCTCACTGGCAGAATCAAGGTGGGTGGCCTTAATTCAGTACTGATTTTCATTTGTTTAATTAGGTAGTTTGCATGGCATATAATGTATGATGTACATACTCATTGACGTACATGTATGATGTTTGATGTACATTGAAAATAACTCGTACGGCGGTTTTGCATGTCGCCTTTATAATATGCGGCTAAATAACTACCCAAAAAACTGCACGAAATATATTAAGAACACTGAGCTTATATTACCACCCGTTTCTATTTCGTAAATAAAAAACAAATTTAAAAAAACAATATATATATAAATTATTGAATAATGGAACATTCTGCATTCCGGTTTAGTTAAATTATAAGAATTGAAACTTGACATAAGTCGGGATGCCCTAACCTACATCTAAGCGTGTTCTACATTAGCTAAGCTTCCCGAATCTTATATGTGTTTTGCATTGCTCTGAGAGCAATTGGTTTTATTATTATAATTTTACACCTTTAAAATAGAGCATCAATCATCTGGAATTTCCCTATATTAGCAGGAGTGAACATAAACAAATAATTTTAAAACAAAAACCCGTATCTTTTGAACATGTTAGGGATACCTAAAGAACGCCTATAGCGTTTTGATAAAACCAATAGGTTCACAAATACAGCAGTGTGGTTTGTTTATAATAACTGTGTTTATAAAATCGATCGATCAATCTTAATTATCAATCAATATGATCGATTTTTGGCCTGTAGCGGTGGCCTCTGTGTGATGTGTGGTTTTCTGTGTATGTGCTTGACAATCGAGGCTGGTCCCATTTCGCTCCTACACTCTTCACTGCATATTTATTTATTGCAACAGGTGGCAGTTTTTTCTAATTTGAATCTGCAAGCTGGCTCCTGTTATAAAGAGTACATAAGTATATTACCATTATTAAATTATTGTTATTCAAAATATTTCATTTTGTATTAAATTTAGGCCTGCAGCTGATATCGTGATGAAATTCCAACGTAACAACGATAATAATAATAATAATAATAATAATATTAATAATAATAATAATCCGTGTCTTCAAGAACCACACCAATAAACTTGTTAGTAAAACATATATGCTCGTTTTATTGTCGCAATTAATACCATATTTGTACTATATCTCTTCTCGATTTTCTCACCCGAATGATTAATGCAGTGACTTCTTTTGCGATGTCGATACATATATAAATATATTATAATATATTAAAATATAATTGCGCGACAATTATGACCGTGGGTTATATAATATATATCTATATATATATATTTAATATATATTATATATTATATATATACATATTTCATACTATCATGCTAATTGTCGCGAGCAATTCAGCATGTCCAGGTATGAACTACAATAATAATAATAATATAATTTAATAATAATAATAATAATAATCACATAATAATCTCATCAATCATCATCATCATCATCATCCATCATCATCCATCATCCATCATCATCATCATCATTACATCGTCGTCGTCGTCGTCGCATGCATTGATGCTGCGAGCTGTTATCAATCTTCAGCGCTGGCAGATTTGCTAGACACCGGTGAGCGGCGGCATACGTCGCATCGTATACGTAACTCATCATGATGATGATGATGAAACAACGGGCTGAGCACATCGAGCTATATAACGTACTGTTGTTTTCCTGTTCACGGGGGAGGTTACTTTTTATACCCTGCTCACGGGGGAGGTTATACCCTGCTCACGGAGGAGGTTACACCCTGATCACGGGGGAGGTTACACCCTGATCACGGGGGAGTGTATCCTTGCTCACGGAAGGTAGGTTCTACTGATCCACGAGGGAGTTATCCTGATTCACGCGGGAGGTTATACCCTGCTCACGAGGGAGGTTATACCCTGATCACGGGGGAGGTTATACCCTGCTCACGGAGGAGGTTATACCCTGATCACGGGGGAGGTTATACTCTGCTCACGGAAGAGGTTATACCCTGATCACGGGGGAGGTTATACCCTGTTCACGGGAGAGGTCCTACCCTGATCACGGTGGAGGGACCTGCGCCGGACGCGCTGTAGGAGGGCATGGATGTGCAACGCCGCTACTAGAGGGCGCTACGCCTCGGTAAGGGAACAGTCCGCCGTGAGGGGCAGCACCGGCGGGTAAGCCGAACTGCTGTAGCGGCCAGTAGTAGGGCAGGCCTAGGCTGCCGACGCCGGGGGCAGTCGGAGGTGCGTAGGCGTGGTTGAAAAGCCAGAATCTGTCGCCGACGTACATTTGTCGCGGAGGTGGCGCCCCTACACTCGAGTAGTACTGATGCGCCATCAGTTCGAGATTGTTCGTGTACTTCCGCTTCCACTTCGTACGTCGATTTTGAAACCATATTTTTATCTGCATGGGAAAAAAGAAAAGAAATTAAAAAGAGGAAAAACGAAATTTAATACACCGCGGCGCGCGTTTTTTTTCAAGCGTTATAACTTACATTTCCAGCCGATGTATGATTCAACATTAAGTTCATTCAGTTACAGTTTAGATAACGGTTTTATGAACGCCCTATGAATATACTGAATACTCTGAATATATACTCTGAATATACCGCGCGTAAAAGCTAGAACTAACGAATACATACATAACTAACGCAAAATAAGCTAACAAGCCATCATTTACATTCATAAATGTTTACAGGATATTAGTGACAGGTTACCAAAAAATATAGTAGCACAGCAAATCACATCACACGTGGATGCAGTTTACAACTAACCATTATATAGATATATTTTTGAGAATAATATCAGCAGTTATGTTGCAATTACGTAATCACCGTGAATGCAATTATAGATCGTTCCGGATTAGTAATCGTATATTATGATAAGTGATTCCGACTCTAGGGTTTATATACCTGCGTCTCTGTGAGTTTCAGACTCTTTGAAAGCTGCATTCGTTTCGAAACGGAGAGATATTTATTCTTTTCAAACTCGGTTTCCAGTGCTTTCACCTGAGCGGCCGTGAACGCCGTGCGAGGGCGCTTCTTTCGCTCGTCAGACGCGTGCTGAGTGTCGACCCTGTCGTCTGCAAAAATTACGTAATATTAGTTCGATCAGATGATGAGTTTTCATTTTATCGATGACCTGTGAGGGTTCTGTCCGTAAAATATTCACATCGCCGCCTATATGATACCCCCAATATAGACACATATATACATATCCTATAACGTATAACACGCATACACATACATACACACACGCGCGCGCGTGCGTCAGTACATGCGAATGTGTGTACATATAATATTGTATAGTTGTTCCATAGTCTTATTTAAATAAAATTATATTTTCACGATATAGACCGTCTGTCTACTGCACCAAGAATCACAATACGATCTGGACAATCTACACACGACATCGGTCACCGACACGGACTGGTACGTTTTTTCGTCCGCATCGGTCACGAACTGGTCAGTGTGTCGGCCGCCGTGCTGCGCGTGTGACGTCTGCGCTGACGGCTCGTCGCTCGACAGTAACAAGTAATCGATTACTACCCCGCTGGCCATCTGCCGCTGATGACGTAACGCGACACCGCCGCCGCGCGCAAATCAGAAACACTTGCAGCTCCGCTCTGCTGCTGCCGCCGCTGCTGCCGACGACGTTTGACCGCTAATATCGAGAAAAATATCCGCCATTATATTTACATTATTGACGTAACGTGTTATATATCCGCCTTGCTGCGAGTGAGCGAGTGAGAGACAGCGGTTATGGGTCCGTGAGTTATCTAACTCCGCCCCTGGGCGGCGCGCGAAATTTTTTTTCCCACGAGAATTCCGGACCCACCACAGATAGTGTTTTGTAATATATGGTGCGTATATAAGACAAACCTGGTTGAATTATAGTTAGGGTTCGGGTTAGAGTTAGGATTAGGTTTATGCTGTATAAATTTTACATTGTTGCTTCGAGGAAGTCGAGTGAATGGAGTGCGCTGATTGGCTGGGGTCCGGAACTCTCGTGGGAAAAAAAATTTCGCGGGCGGCGCCACGGTCGCGGCGGCGTTTTGTCGTCTGTTTTATTGCGGCGTGGATCGTGGATTGCTGCTGCTGCGGCTTCTGCTGCTTCTCGGCTCCTCCCACACAGCGGGCGGAGGGAGTGACGATGATCCACCATGTACTCATACACACATACATGCAGATAAACTATCTATATATATTTATTCATATATATATATGTGTGTGTGTGTGTATGTATATATATGAGCTATTAACTTGTTATAGCTATGTTATAACTATATATATATATACTGTGTTTATTAACTTGCGAAACACAGCCGTCTGTTATATTGTCAGAAATGAAATGAAAACTTCGAATACATTG